AATACCCTATTTCAAAGGTGAATTGGTAGGTGCAAAGCTGACATTCGGGGACACAGATTACCGTAGCCCCAGAACAGATTTCGAATCAAAACAAAGGAGTATGCTTCCACTTTATTAGGGCAGGCCCAACAGAAGAATGCGTACGATAATGGTATTTTAAACCCCAAGGATGTGAGTATAATCAGATGTACATTTTCCGCTAAAGTTGGCCTAACTGTCGAGTTTGGAAAGGAAGCAGGACCGGTGGTCCGATCAGTACAGATTCCAAACAGTCCGGTCACACCACTTACGAGACCAACGAAGCTTTCATTGAAAAATTGATTGACGGTGTTTTGAAGCAGAACCACAGAAGATGCCCAAGTTTTCGAAATCCCACTAATCAGTTGGTAAGAATGAAAGCAACGCAAAAAAAATCGCTTAAATATTAGTTGTTTATTCTTTCTACTGAAAGTGCAGGTTAATTTACTAGACGTATCCGTATAGAATACATAATAGGCTTTACCTAAATCAGCACAGTTCTATTAAACTGAGAGAAATTTTTCTTTGAAACTCCTCGTAATTAGCTGGGATGGTAATCGAGTGGCAAGAAAATGACACTCCGTTTTCCACTCGATGCCGACAGATTATCAAAAAATACATTTGATGGGACAGTAAAATTATTCCACGTAAATGAAATAAATGATACACTTGATGTAACATACTCTCCAAACATTGTTGCAGAAGGAATAATTGATTAACTGTCTGCGCACGTCACAGTCTGAATCACGAAAGCAATAAGGCCTGCAACTTTTGGATAGTTACTGACGAAATGTCATTTTTCCTACTTCTCTGTTTGCAATCTATAATTTGATTGTTTAATCAACTTCAGTTTCATCCAGTTACCAAGGTGGTAGATATTTTCAAAGGCATCTGTTCTTTTCTTTGAATCAGAAACATTTAAAAGATAAGGACTTGGGATATCAAGCTGGCATTCATCTCCCAACTAAATAAAATTTCAAGAGCGAAGATGATTCGTTGTGTGGTATGCTAATCATCGTTAGCTGTAAAAACCTGCAGATCAATCCGTTCTTAAAAAATAAGATACTACACTTATGAAACCAAGATACTGTTCCGTAGTGGCATTGTTGTCAACATGTCTTCATGTCTCCAGAATCAGTGACATGCATAAACAAGTCAGAGCATGTCGCGATACATACGTAGCCCCAGAACAGATTTCGAATCAAAACAAAGGAGTATGCTTCCACTTTATTAGGGCAGGCCCAACAGAAGAATGCGTACGATAATGGTATTTTAAACCCCAAGGATGTGAGTATAATCAGATGTACATTTTCCGCTAAAGTTGGCCTAACTGTCGAGTTTGGAAAGGAAGCAGGACCGGTGGTCCGATCAGTACAGATTCCAAACAGTCCGGTCACACCACTTACGAGACCAACGAAGCTTTCATTGAAAAATTGATTGACGGTGTTTTGAAGCAGAACCACAGAAGATGCCCAAGTTTTCGAAATCCCACTAATCAGTTGGTAAGAATGAAAGCAACGCAAAAAAAATCGCTTAAATATTAGTTGTTTATTCTTTCTACTGAAAGTGCAGGTTAATTTACTAGACGTATCCGTATAGAATACATAATAGGCTTTACCTAAATCAGCACAGTTCTATTAAACTGAGAGAAATTTTTCTTTGAAACTCCTCGTAATTAGCTGGGATGGTAATCGAGTGGCAAGAAAATGACACTCCGTTTTCCACTCGATGCCGACAGATTATCAAAAAATACATTTGATGGGACAGTAAAATTATTCCACGTAAATGAAATAAATGATACACTTGATGTAACATACTCTCCAAACATTGTTGCAGAAGGAATAATTGATTAACTGTCTGCGCACGTCACAGTCTGAATCACGAAAGCAATAAGGCCTGCAACTTTTGGATAGTTACTGACGAAATGTCATTTTTCCTACTTCTCTGTTTGCAATCTATAATTTGATTGTTTAATCAACTTCAGTTTCATCCAGTTACCAAGGTGGTAGATATTTTCAAAGGCATCTGTTCTTTTCTTTGAATCAGAAACATTTAAAAGATAAGGACTTGGGATATCAAGCTGGCATTCATCTCCCAACTAAATAAAATTTCAAGAGCGAAGATGATTCGTTGTGTGGTATGCTAATCATCGTTAGCTGTAAAAACCTGCAGATCAATCCGTTCTTAAAAAATAAGATACTACACTTATGAAACCAAGATACTGTTCCGTAGTGGCATTGTTGTCAACATGTCTTCATGTCTCCAGAATCAGTGACATGCATAAACAAGTCAGAGCATGTCGCGATACATATATATTTTGTAATCCACTACTCATAAGGTTGCTGAAAACCCCTCGACATCCCACGACCGGTTTCGCCCATCTTGGGGTTCATCAGGTAGGCTCAGTCCCAGGGTTTCCGTCAAACTTATGTTCCACTTGAAACCAAATTGGACTGTTTTCGAGCCTCAAGAAGGGTGAAACCGGTCATGGGCTATCGAGGAGTTTTCAGCAACCTTATGAGTATTGTATTACAAAATATATATGTACCACGATATCTCGAATATCGTAGCGACTGAAACATGAGGCGGCCTAGTGCAGCACATTCAGTTGCCTTGAAACATCAAAACCGAGAGATCCAGCTGGGTTCCAGGTGAGTCTCTCGAGAAACCAAATTAGTTTGCAAATGAGTGTACATCCGCTACGTCAAAGCATAATTACAGAGGAAGACAGCCTAAATGAACATCTACCGCTGCAGAAAAGCCACGGGATTCCTATTCGAACAGGAATTTTTCAGTGTGTTCGTTTGTCTTCATACATCTTTGAATTTGTGCGTCAACTTTATTGCAAATTTCAACCACACGTTAACAAAATATGGTAGGTGAAGGCGATATTTGTTGAGCATTGTCGACATATATCACAGAACACACGAACACGAAGTAGTCGTGAATCTATGCACGAAAAATGACTGTGATCGGTAATATATGAATTATCAAAAAAATTTTATGCACCTGGTAGTTTTTATGAACTAGCGTAAGAATCCACCGTAATACACCAAGTTTGTCTCGAACAGCAGCTAAGGGGCTGTTAGTTGTAGAAGATGGCGTCAGTAAGGTGTGGAAAATATTATCGTAAACTAATTCAGATCACCCAACTTTGAGATAAAACAATGTAATTGATAAATCACTAAAAATAGAATGTAGCTTACGAGTTCGATGAGGAACAATAATATTTTGGTCCCTGATCGCTCAGACAAACATGTTTTGGAACTGTTCATTTGAAGTGATTGCAAAAGGTTTGTAGCACACTCGGTTGCATGCTTCACGGTAAAGAATGATTGAGTACTGTTATGCAATACCGCACGCTCAAACACGTTTAGATTAGCAAAGGATAACACATCTGTTTCACTTGAAACCTGCAGTACTTTGAATCTGGACAGAAGATTAGCAATATGGGCACCTGTTTGAAATTTTGCTGTTCACATGACCTTGCATCTACGCATTAAGCGGTAGATGACAATCGCAAGTGCTCTGCGTGCCGCGCGTGGAAACTTGCGGATAAAAACTTTGTAGCCTTGCGCAGAAGCCAGTTTAGCTGATGCATTAATTAGTTCCAGTTACACGTCTGTGTCATTCCGCATGTGTCGAAACCACGCTTTCGTCACGTTCCACAAACCATCAAAAGAGTTAACTCATGTACACCTAACTGTGCTTGTATTCAGGGGTTATTCACCGCCAAGGTCAGTGCTTCAGTTGATAGTATCAGTCTCTCTCGAAGCACAACCTGAATCTGCGAACTCGTGGCCGGTTGACTGGTTTCAACAGTTGAGTAAGTTGAGTGTCTATCAGCAGATAAACGTGTCAGTTGTTTGTGAGCATGTTTACACCCAAATTTCTCGCTTGCTACCGGATTTTGAAGATACCAATAACTTTATTCAACCTTCTCAATGGAACTTTGAAATTAAACACCTCTGATATACAAAGAAATATCCCTTTTTATGGATGATTAATAGTCACCTTGTATGACAGTAATTAGATCCCCATGGGCGCATATAAATCGAAAACATGTGTTAGCTGCAGTAGTTGTTGACTACTCACGGTGTTTCGTTCAGCTCAGCGTGCGATTGTATTTTTCTGTTATGTAACGTTTGTCACGGGAAGGGTGATGAATACGTCACATCCTTGCCTAGTTTACGATATTTGTGTTGCCGGTATGGGATAAGTAAAGGATTTCCTCCTATCAAGCAGGTCTTTACGTCCAGTATCGGCAGGAAAATGTCGGCTAAGATGTGCAAGGTGCTATCTTTTGGCCACGTGACCATCATTAGTACTGAATATCGGGGAAAGTTACTTTTTGAAAAAATGAACTGTTCGGGATCAAAACCGAAATATCAGTATCAATCTTGTTTCCTGCTACCTGAGAAATGGCTCAAAGTCACATTTGTCAACAATCGTCCAATACCAAGTTATCGTTTTTTCAAAGTATTCCGGTCTTTCACTCCGAAAAAAATCCAAGGGAAGCCTCATCAGCCCGAAGTGACAAAGCAATTTGAACGTTCTCGAGCAACTGTGCATGGCAATCGGCCATCCGTTAGCGAGTACATTTGGAGGATAGACTCTAACATTTAATTACTGTATTATTTGAAGAACAACAGGGCTTTGTGAGGAGTCAGGTTGAAGTTACCACAGTTTGAATCAGTTGGCAGAACTAGACATTGCTGTTCCGCTTATCCTATTACAATTATCGTCCACATAAGCCCACAGATGAAATTTCAACCGCATTAGCATACAACCACATGAACCTAATGTCTCAGACTCAGCAGGCTACCTAACCGGACTGTCTTCGCGGTAAACTCCAAACAGCAAAAAATCAGTAGTATGCTGTCCTCGAATTTCTTACGATCGTCCCATACTACTTTGATAGTTGTCATTATTTATCCGTGGAACTTGATATTTTAGGTGACTAATCGGATACTCAGCATCGGATGAATCCTCCTCAAGTTCAGCGTTTGGAACCACTTCCCTATATTCATTGTCAATCAAAGATCACTGATAAGACGGTGAGTTCTAAGGTACTGCTTTTCTTGGGAATTTCGAACGGCTTTTACAAACACACACGAAATTAACGGGGTTATTTAAAATGGTTGCACGACAGACCGGGTGGATTTAGAAGATATACGGTGCCAAAAGCCAAGTAACACTGTTTAAAACAATTCTCTGATAACACTGGCGGAACAAATGTGTCGAAGATACATGCTATAAATATTTCAACCGCTAGTTGGCACAAGATATTGTTAGGGTTTGAATGGAAGCGCATACCAAATGGAGGCCAGTTCCGCTCAGCTGCCTGCATGGAGTTGAACAATCAGAGTTTCATAAACGTCCAGCTCTCAGGTGTCATGTTGTTGGTCAGCTGGATTAGGTCAACAAGCAACGATTACACCATCAGGGCAATCTGATGTGTACTCGACTACCGTATCTGGTCGCTTGTGTATATGCGATAAGACTGGACTGTGGAGGTCCATACACGCAGCAGCCATATCATTCAGTTACCATGCCCGACGCGGACAATCCATTGCAACTTTAAAACCAGAGTTTCAAGTTACAAGAATGCACAAAAGTGGGCTAATACCACAAACACAAATTCTTTAGTTTTGTTTCATTCCCCAGTTTTCATGGGTGCGTATCACTATACAGGTCGCTTGGTAAATCTATTCACTTGAGTCATTAAATCATCCGACTGATATTAAGCAGTTCCTTCGGTGACTCACAGGCACTATTTGAGTTGACAAATGAACCTGAGGTATCTTGCTGAACAACGCGCAATACTTTGTACCTATTTGCTTACTTCTAACTTGTCTGCAAAGAGTAGATCTGACCACATTACACTCCTACAGTATCAGTGCTTGTTACCAGCGTTTCCTTACTGTTAGCGCCGGGTGAGTTTTTCTTATTCCTTAGCAGCCACAGCCTCTTTACTCAGTCGTCCGGCAAATGGCAAGAAAAGCATTACTTCTATGCTCCGTTCTCTAGATGCTATAGTCTCTTCACCCCTCGGAGAGGCAAGGTTGCATCACAGTTCACCCTACTATAACTTTGGTGTTTTAATCCACAGTTCAATAAGCCAACAGACATGCTCCCAAAGCATGCGCGCATGGTCATCCCAGGCAATTAACCGAGTGCACTTTGGCGTGCGTCAAGCCAAACTTTACAAGCCTTCAGGTTGTCATCCATGTGGCTGCGTTATTTTAACAGAATAATGACAGCGCGAGAAACTTCTTTGAGTGCCAACATGAAAGTTTATTCCCTCACTCATTTCACAAGTCTAACAACCTAGAATTCTGTCATATCCCGTAAATCCACATGCTGTAAAAAACACTAATTTCAGTCCGGCAGACGATCAAAATGAGCCTCTTCGGCGCTTAAAAGAAAACACCTAAGAGCGATAGTTCTGGCCACAGGATACATGGAGGCCTAATCAACCTAACCGTCATAGCATGACGGTTTGGTCGTGGATTTAATCAACACGCGTCGTCACTTATGTGATGAGGATAGCGAAAGTTAAAGTAAATACTGGGTGGCAGTGGCTAGATATTATTTTCATAACCAAGAAGCGGCAAATGGAATGAAATGAAATCTGTGCTACAATACAGTACTCGCTTTCGAAGAAACTTTCAGGGAATCTGAGCACTTTTTTTTCCAGAAGAGGGTGACTTCTACACGACATCATGAGGTTCCACTTGTTTCTGTATACGTTTCAACATGATGGGAGATGGAGTTATTCATTTTATTTTGTATGATTTGAAAAAACACTAATTTCAGTCCGGCAGACGATCAAAATGAGCCTCTTCGGCGCTTAAAAGAAAACACCTAAGAGCGATAGTTCTGGCCACAGGATACATGGAGGCCTAATCAACCTAACCGTCATAGCATGACGGTTTGGTCGTGGATTTAATCAACACGCGTCGTCACTTATGTGATGAGGATAGCGAAAGTTAAAGTAAATACTGGGTGGCAGTGGCTAGATATTATTTTCATAACCAAGAAGCGGCAAATGGAATGAAATGAAATCTGTGCTACAATACAGTACTCGCTTTCGAAGAAACTTTCAGGGAATCTGAGCACTTTTTTTTCCAGAAGAGGGTGACTTCTACACGACATCATGAGGTTCCACTTGTTTCTGTATACGTTTCAACATGATGGGAGATGGAGTTATTCATTTTATTTTGTATGATTTGAATGACCAGATGGTCGGCACATTCGCACATCCGTGATCTACACATACCGCCGCAATATGGCGAAGCTGTGTAAAGCTCGTTAGCCATTTTCAACCAGTCTACCGGTGTTTTCTATCCAATATCACCAAATAGGTAAACCATTCCGAAAACATATTACTATACAGCATGTTCATTCAAAAAATGAGAACTATTAGGTCATCATACACTGTGTCAATCTTCTTCCCAGCAACATTAAGAGCAGCAGATTCAAATCGTGAAGGATACCACCGAACAGGATGAATTTGCTAGCCAAGTCAAGTAATTTTATGTCGCAGTTCTACGATTTCCGTGTGTCACCTGTCCGTAGGACATGAATAAGCTATAAATTGTACTGATAGTAGAAGACATTTTACTATACCATTTTCGTTTGAGGAGCGAATCGGTCATGTGAAGAAGTTAAAATTGGCTCCTCTTTAGTTTCCGTTTGCAGTTGGGAAAAGTCCTTCTTTAACGGGGGCTGCATTCCAGATGAAAGTGGTCTAAAGTTGAATGTCATGCTCTAACGCACTAACAAATGGGAGCCTCGTCGCACAGAAATCCTCTTGTTCTGAGCGCATATTTGTTTTCATACCAGTAAAATAACCTTCTGTTGTGCAAAGCTCACTTTGATGACGCATCTACTTGGCGGTAAGATATTTCCGAAATGGATGCTGTAGCTATGACAAGGTTAATTCGTACAATCTTTGACGCGTCTCTGTCATCACGGACCGATATGAATTTGGATGGAACTCTAAGTAGGTACTGCCACATATCTAACTGGTTACAGAAAAAGCCCTCAAATGGATTCGACCACCAACTTGTTTCGGAAATATCAGTAATGGAATGTTTTTGAGCAGTAACATATGCGCATGGAATTTGCGCGTTAAGGGAGGCTTCTATTCAAGATATCTTGTGTAAAGAGACCTTTGATACTAAGTACCAAGGGAGTTTTTGCACTTTAGATCTTTTTGGAATTTGCGTAAAACACCAGGGACAGCATAGTTCTTTGCCTTTGCAGTGGCAACAAAGTCCTCTCATTCAAGTAGAACATAAGGTTGACGGAAACTTGGAGACTGCGCCTACCTGATGAGCCCAAGAAGGGCAAAACCGGTCGTCGGTAGTCGAAGAGTTTTCATCAACCTTGTGAGTAGCTTCATGTCATTCTAGTAATACACTACTATCGGAAAGAGGTTTTTCCACTGTTTACAGGAGAATAAAGGGTTAGAAATGCGTTAGCCGAATATTTCAGCGTCTGTGGCGCAGAATGCTTCCCTGACAAGATCAGTTGTTGTTTGTGGTGAAATCTAATAGTCTTCCTAACGCATTCGCTAAGTTCCAGGCGACAACTTCATACAGTACACTTCCAAGGGTAGGCTCTTCACAGTGACAACAAAAGCTTTCAGCAGATCTGTGGTGTTAGAAAATTATGATATCTTCCCCAAGTCCTGCTTTTCGAATTTATCTGCGTGTTGCAGCTATGAGTACCCAACCAGTCCATTTTATATCATTTATACACAATTCTACATTCATTGTGTGACGCGCAAGTAGTTCATTCAGACATCACGATTTAAAGTGAACCATAGACTGCATTCACTTATGGGACAGAATCTCAACCAGAAATTTACATACCGCACCTCGAAATTAGAGGATGTGTCGTTTGAACCCGCTAATGAAGTTTGTAGAACTAGTTAAAGTGTATCAAAAAGCAGCTTAACAACAGTTCTGTGGTTCCGAGCGGTGTTCTATCCTTCATTCACGTGGACTAAATAACTGCGATCACTTAAAGTACGCATGTACGAAAGGACGCATCTTAAACCGATCAACTGATCGAATTATTGGGAAATCTCGTCTCTTGTTCTGATGCGCTGCGGTACGAATCGGACGAAAAAGCTGAGGTATGAATTTCGTACCCGTGCACAGTGAACTGATGAGGCTACAAAATTCGTGAGGTTCAAATCAGTCAATGAAGACGTCACTCAAATTAATGTTCTCACTACTAACAAGAGTTTTGAGTAGAATGTATACACAAATGTGTTCAAGTGCCGTGAAAATTTGTGATGAGTACGAAACAGAGTAAAGCACCGGTGTTACCCAAAAGGGTTCAGTTGTCTGTTCGCTTGTTTGCATCCTAGCTTAAGGAAAGTATCATGGTATAAACCCAGTTTCATGTAATACTGAATCACGCCCCCATCCTAGACTTTTAGTTAACACATATTCTTTCTGCTTTATTTTAAAAGCATATTAGGTCAGCTCCGGTAGAACTGAAGGATAGCGAGTTGGACAATTTCCGTGTTGTTGGAGACCTTGTGAAGTACTGCACCGAAAAATATAGTGAGTGGTGTTGAGAATTGCGGAGTGCTTTGTCATTTAACCTATCCGATAAATTCTATTTTCACCGTATATGTTATGCTGAAAACTACCCTACAACAATAGTCTTTCTGGTGACCGCTGCGAGTTAAATTTGGGTACCCTTAATGTATTTTTGGCTTGCGAACTCATTTCTTCATCCAAATCGAGCAGCCAAAATGGTTCAATTTATCATTCTTGTACAGAGAAGTTGAGGGACGACCAGTAGAGCGTCTGAAGCGAACAATTCGAGAACGTCTAACTTGGTTTTCTACGACTGAGTATTCATCTTCGATGGGGTAGAAGCAACGCAAGCAAGTTATGAAAGTCCAACAAATAAAATTTTTAAAAAATTATCTTGAAAATTTCCAAAGCACTTTTGTTTCTTTTCCTCTCTTTTATGTAGTCTTTCATGTGCACACACTGTATGTAACCATACTGAGATATGTCGAATCGCT